AGTGCAAAAAAAGCGGTGTCCATTTGTCCCTCAGTCTGATACTTTTTGAGTTTCCCTCTGATAATCTGCCCTTTCCAACGGAATTGCGCAAAGGCCAGGAGCTGTGTTCACAAATTTTCGATATCGATATGTTGTTGATTTTCGATCCTGGGATCCTGTTGTTCGTATTTCAAGATTTTGTTCTTGGATATACATATCCTGATTATATCGCTTTTATGCCAATAGTTTATAATATTCCTCACATTTCTTGGATAAAAAAACAAGACCATTCTGAATATATTGCCTGAATTGGTGAGAAAAGAGGAGACAAGTATTAAGTTTATAAAAACCTTTCCTTGGTCAGTTTTCTTTCTGAAGGAAAGAAGTACTGCGCATATTTTGTGATCTAACATGTTATTCGTTAAAACAATACATTATTGTGTGTACTATTTTGAAACGAATTTATGACACAGTGTATAGTCTGCTGTAGTATTCCAGATCCGGATACATCCGAACAAGGAGTAAAGCAGCTTTGAGACGAGGAGCACAGTCAGTACATATAGTTGCTCTCCTCTCGTGGTTCGGATGTGTCCAGATGTGGAACACCACAGCAGAGTATACACTGTGTTATACGCCTCTAAGTCAGTACATATATCTGCTACCACTAGGTTATATGTACTGCTGCCTCAGTACATATATCTCCTGTGTCCAGATGTGGAACACCAGAACAGAGTAATATATACCGCTTTGTCATAGTTTCACTTGGAGGTGAGCATCTCACTCATCCGAATCGGAACAGTATAATGACACAAACTCAAGTTTGTGAGTAAAACGAGTTGTGGCTCTTCACAGACTTAGAGGAGTAGGATGACTTGTATTTAGAAGTGTGAGGACCAGAATGAATTGGAGTTCTGCACCGATGATCGTGTACATGTATAGAGCGAGAGAGATAGAAAGAGAGAGAGAGACAGAAAGAGCGAGAGAGAGAGAGACAGAAAGAGCGAGAGACAGAGAGTCTTAGAGAGACTGTACTTAATTTTCAGGAGACGCAGGGTCGAGTACACGCGTAGACCATCAGCCTCGTTTTTTAAAGCATTTCATACGATCGTTGTAGGAGAGCAACAAGGTAATGTGAATTTCCAAGATAAGCGAAGCTCGGATGTATCCGAGATCACAAGAGATAGACAGACAGAGGAAGTCCGCAAGAAATGGTCGTGTACATTTGAAGAGCGAGAGATATGGAAAAAAAGAGAGAGAGACAGAAAGAGCGAGAGACAGAGTGTCTCAGAGAGACTGTACTTAATTTTCTCGAGACGCCGCACGGACGGCGCAGGGTCGAGCACACGCGGAGATCATCAGCCTCGCTTTTAAAAGCATTTCAGACGATCGTTGCAGAAGAGCAGCAAGGCAATGTGATTTTCCCAGATAAGCGAAGTTCGGATATATCCAAGATCACAGGAGATTGACAAAGACGAAGCCCGCAAGAAATGACATATTAGCACGCCAGAGGGCAGAGAGATGAAAAAGACAAGCACCGTATAGTCACCCACAGCATTTCGTGTTACGGACGTATCCGAAGTGTCGAACTAGTATAGACCCTTCAGTTTGAAGTTTCCCCTGTGCTTTTTGGGACACAGTTCAAAAAGTATCTTTTGCGAAACTGAGAGAGAGAGAGAGAGAGAGAGAGAGAGAGAGAGAGAGAGAGAGAGAGAGAGAGAGAGAGAGAGAGAGAGAGAGACAAACATTGCACCATCATCCACCACATTTCTGATCCATCCGGAGTGTCTCGGTTGTGAGTCGCTTCGCTACGATCTAGACAGAGCTGACAAAGATAGAAAGAGCGTGCAGAGAGATGGAGAGGGAGACAGGGACAGAGACAGGAACATAGACAGAGACACAGAGAGAGACAGAGAGAGTGTGGATGATCGCACTGAATTTTCTTTTCATGTCGACATGTGGCACAAGAGACGCATGTTCGAGGACCATGCGAAAACCACAAGTGTAGCTATATAAGAGTTGCAAGGTTTTCGTTAGGCGAGAGTAAGCCAAGTTCGGATGCATCCGAGATGACAGGGGAGCTCTGGCCTTCGGCCCTTTGTTTTGTGTGTCAAATTCGATACATGTACGAGTTCACCTTACTGAAATGGGGCATAATCCGCAGGAAACCAACATATGTTTGTGTAGGATCCTCAGAGACTATATTGGAAACAACTTCAGGCAGTTAGTATAGTCACCTTGAAACAAGTTGAAGGTAGAGACTGGTCTGCTCGAGTACAAATTCGGGTGTTGCCTCCAGCAAGCAGTTTCGGAGTTCGAGCGCCCACTTCGTTCGCTGGCCTTGAGTGTGAGACGGACTAACTTAAGTCCTCTATAGCAAAGACCTTAGCCCGTGTTGTGATTTATCCTTCCGTCACCACATCCAATTTTGTCCAATCATGCAATTGTATTTTCAGCCCCGCCACCTTAATTCAAATCTCGTCATATTCGAGCAGCCATTGGCGTCGTCTTTTGGGTTTTCCCTCTCGGCACATTCTAATTTTTCATTGTATTGGGTAATGCATAGGAACCGAATGTATGAATGCTCGTGCAGAAGGGGAGTTTTGCCGGGCCAAAGAATTGACAGCATTCAATGTCGGAATCACAAAGCACACAGTGCGGAGGGTCAGACGGGTCATCAAATGTATAAAGAGGCCCGTGTGTTGTATTTTGTTTTCTGTGACGCCTCACAACATTCAAAGTGAAAATGCATAGATGAGTGTAGACTACGGGGGAGGTTCGGGAGAGAGGTAGAAAAGCATAGAGTTAGTTCGAGTCCGGATGCATCCGAGTATGCGGGCAGAACATCACACCACACAAGGCACAAAATGACGAAAGCGAGATATTCAATCACGAAACAGGCGCCCCAACAACGGGGACGTTCGTGATAATTGAAATCCAATGAGAAAGAACAATATTGTCGACGACAAACACGCCGGGGACATGACAAGTTCACTCGGAGATTTCCTGGCAGTGACAGCCAGTTCTGCTCTGAACCAAACCGAGAACATCCACCAGTCCCTCACGGAAAAAATAAAAAGGAACAAATTTCGTCCGGAGAAGAACGAAATGTTCTTCTACATAAACCCTTCTACACTAGATGATCAACAAAGAGATAGACGCTTACCTACCAACATCACAAATCGCCAAAGCTAGTCTAGCTCTGATAGAGGAGATGTGTCTATGGGAGAAACCAAAAGGTGGACGTAAACCTCTCGCCAAACAGGAAGTGAACATCAACATGAACACCCCACAACTAGCCCCGTCGTACTGCCGAGGGACACCTTTCACGCTGACCTCGCGAGCAAAGTGGTCAAAAGTGCGACCATCACCGGCGGCACCTGCCACCGTGTTAAAAAAATTAACAGTTTTATCCAGAAGTGCGGAGTAGAAGGAATCTTTGAATGACGAACACGAGAAAGAATCATAGATTTCCAAAACACGTCTAGAGAAGTCAATGGCCAAAAGGCTCCAGTGTTCGCCGTCCTTGTGCACCGGTGCCAAGACGAGGTCATGAGACAGGAGGTCGACATCTTTAGCCCATCTGAGAACAACTGCCGGACCTCGCAGAAGCAGTGAAGAGGCGAAGGAGTTAAAGGTGTATGTCTTCATGGTAGCTGCAGTCCGGCCGCAGTCATCTAATAGCATCGCCATGTAGAAATTGACAACCTCATCGTTGAGCTCCCCGGATCTATCCACGAATGCGACGATGTCCTTGACGGATACCTGTAAACTGTGCGACAGCAAACGCGCGACGATGATAGTGAGCGGCAACCGGGAGCAGATAACGTCTTCAAGGACCGCTCTTCCATCTCGAGGAAACCCTGTTCAACAAACACCCGCAGCACACAGCAAGCACAAAGGACGGGGCACTATGAGAAAATGTCGTCCTAGCGGCCATGGTCCGAGGAACCGCTACTCT